CAAGTGTGGTGAATTGTTCAAGTTGCTTTTGAACAAGAGTACAATTGGAAATGGCCGCTTAGAATAATATTCTTTCGAATTATTCTCTGGTATGGTTCTTGGGCTTCTAACGCGATTTCACTCTTCTTTAAAATTTGATCGAGTGGTGCAGAAGAACTTGTTCGTTCACTTGTTGAAAAAGACTTGTTGAAAAGATTGCGTTTGCGCAAGGAAAATTTAGTCTAAATAATATACTTAAGAAAGGATTTGCAAAAAGACTCATTATCTGGAACTAACCATCGTCTCCGATTCTTCTTGAGAAATACCAAGTACAAATAATATTTCAATATTTCATGGTATTTTAATGAATAGTCAACTTTAGTTTACATAGCTATTAAAAGAGGTTGAAAGATCAATGTACCGTTATTTCTTCAAGATTTGCACCATTCGGCCCTATTTTACGATTAAAAAGGTCTTCAATATCCTTTAATTATCTTGAATTAATAAAATTTCATATTCATTCTCGAAGAAACTCCTCAATTCTTACTTACATCTTCCACGGTAACCGAATTTTCGACAATTTATTCCCAAGAATTCTAAAATCTCATTTACCTTCTCCTACTTATTAATCAAACAACATTCGACAGCTTCCTCCTCTCGTCAACAATACCACAAATGCACCATTCGGCCTTATTTTACGATTAAAAAGGTCTTCAATATCCTTTAATTATCTTAAATTAATAAAATTTCATATTCATTCTCGAAGAAACTCCTCAATTCTTAAAACTTCCACGGTGATCGAATTTTCGACAAGAATTCTAAAATCTCATTTACCTTCTCCTACTTATTAATCAAACAACATTCGACAACTTCCTCCTCTCGTCAACAATACCACAAATCTCTTCTCCCAAATATACTCCCAAATATATATATATCCAACTCGAAAAAAAATGCCTAACCTAATCGAGAGTGTCATCCTCGTCAAAACGAGTTTCGTCCAATCGGATCCCGCCACCGGTCAGATTATGCCGAATCCGTGGAACACGTAACGTTATCAGCCGGTGCACGGGGCATGGGTCGGTGGATACGAGGCATTGCATGGAGAGAGCGAGAGAGGTAAACCGTCCTTCCGTAGATGTGGACGCGGGATCTCGGTGGATGGACGCGTTAGAATGCCGGTTGGTCACCGGTGGTACACGCGTCGTAAAGTGACGATCGGATCAGGATGCAGGAAATTGGCCGGATTCGCGAGCAATGGGCCGTGCTGATACTGGGTGGATATCGGGCCGAAGTGTTGCCGCACAATATGACCCTACTCTGCGTTTACCCACCCCGCGTACGTGCCCTATCTGCCTCTCTTTCTATCTATATATATATATATACAGCTCTCGTTACTCGCGGTCGCTCGAATTTCGAATTCGTTGAGGCCAGCGCAGATCTTGATCCGATTCTGAGATCCTGATTCGGTGAGATAGATAGAGGAGAAATGTGGTGGAATTGGCGGTGGAAAATAATACGTATGGAGATCTCATTCTTCAATCTGATTAACTAGAAAGACTTTAAAAAATAAAACGATAAGGAAATTTTTAAATATATATATAGTTTTTAGATTTTTCGATTCTAGTCTAGTACGGATGAATCACGCAACGTTGTGAATTGATTCGAGAGAAAATGTACATCTATTTATAATATTACAGATTTAAGAACGAATTGGGAATCGCAAGGTGTCGAACATCGAGCGGATTAATTCGAAGAGCGAAAAATTCTCGAAAGTTGGAGGGAAATCCGAAGGAAAGTCGCGGGAGATGGGGATTTACGAAAGTTGTTCGATCCGGGCGGCCAATATCGCGCCATTAACCGTAGATAAGCCAGCGGCTAGAGCTCCGGCCAATATTGAATGGTCTGTATAGAGGTAGTTTGCCGGAGGGGGTTGGCGCGGGGGGAGGAAGGGAGGAGAGGGTGATTGTGCATTAGTGGCACTATTGTGCCGGGCCACCCCTCAAATCCATATTACTCGTGTAGTAGTCAGTCAGTGTCCGTGTTTCCTCTCCGCGCGCCCGTTCGTTCGGAACTACGTATTCCAGTTGTGTATAGAGATCCGCCCCGATTCCCGGCGTGCTCTATATGCAAACCGCCGCGTAATGAGTCCGTCAACCCCGTAACGTCGTTTGCCGCTATCCTTGCACTTAGGCGGCGGTACACCCATTTTCCACCGGATCCACCGGCCTGCCTCCGTCTCGAATGCAAATCCGTCCAAACTCGTGCGCCGCCGCTACACCACCGGCGTCGCCCAACCTCGATCGGGCCCCATGCAAATTCGCCCGCGGCTCCGATTATCGTTCCTACGCTACGTGACCGAAACTGTGCGCGTTCCCTCCACGATTCCGGATGGACCAGGATTTCTGGGTGGAAAGAGATTTTTCTGTGCGTGGGTGCGGTGGGTGTTTTTCGAAACGTTTGATTTGAAAAATTAAGAAAAAATTGAAAAACTTCGAAGACTTAACGACTCTCGTGCGAAGAAGGATTTATTAAATTCTACTTTAAACCGTATTAAAATTATGAAAACTTTGAATCGCTATAACTTCCGGTCGACGAATGAGAGATTAGAAGAGGGAAAATGCTTGCCCTTTAAAACGATTTTTCATTCATCCCGATATGATTTCTTGTCATTTACTGGCATCTCGTCTTACTATTTTAAACAATCCTGGAAATATTTAGTACGCAATTCTAGGAAAAAATAAAAGTCACATGGATCGCGGATCTTTGAATCCTTATATCTCGGCATAACCGATCGAGATATCGAGATGAAACAAAAATTCGATTTCTACACTATAGATTCCTCTATACTTATCGATTATACTTCCTTCTATATTTTAATGAAAATATGTACGACATATTACAATTTTCTCATGAATTTAATTTCTCATGAATTCGATCCATCGAATTCGAGTCCCATTTCGATTCATGGGATCGTAAGTAAATAGCTTGTTTTGTCTGAGACGCAGCAGACGTCGATGAGGGCGTAGGAGGAGAGTGTGGATCTCGATTAATGTCGGTTATTAGCTAGCTGTCATCGCAGTCGTCGTAAGGATCGCGGTCCGCTTTAACAATGCCTCGTCAACGCGCGAAACGAGATGACACGGCCGGGCGCGTGTGATAATTATTCCCGCGGTTGTGTGCACGCCTCTATCGAGGGATTGTTCTCGGTGCACTCGTACGAGTAGCGCGTCTCTCTCTCTCTCTCGCGCGCACACATACACACATATACACGCACACGACCGTTCTATACCCACCGTGATGATATTACCGTTGGCGAGCTGGTTAGCCGGCATCAGTCGACGTCGCCGACGTAATGTTTGGCATAGCTTGTCGCAATATGTTACACACCATCCCCTGTTCCCATCGAATCGGGTTACTGCGAGTATCTTCTCGTGGTGCACGGCAACCACGGCCTCTCTGATGCATGCAATCAGTGTGACCAACGACTTGGCCGTACGTCGCACGGCCAACTGGATGCCACGTAATTACGAAACGCGAAATAATTCGGGTGGACCGAACGACAGGTTGTAACTCCGTCTCCGCGTGGAAAACCAGTTTATACGGGGATTGGAGTTTCTTTTTTTTTTTCTGGTGGTAATTTATCTTATTGCTGCAAAGCCTGCTTTTTCTTCGATCGAATCATGTAATGAGAAAGTTTTTTTGTTTCAATTTTGAAAATTTATATATATATATTGAAAATCACGATACACTAAAAGTTGTTTAAAAGGAAGCAATCCTATTTTTACGCGAGATTAAAGGATTCTTTTAATAAATAGTCAACGTAAAATAATGGCTAATCATATCAAAAAACAGGTAATCAGTTGTGAACGAACTAAGAATTTTAATTTTAGAAAAATTTACATCTATTCGATATTTTATTACCTATCTAAAAAAAAGTAATTTCTTAAAAAACAGTATCCAACAAATACAAATCGCAATTCTACATTTTCACGTCCTCTTTCTTCCTCGTTCGTTTTACGCGCGATTCTCGTCTCCGAAACAATTGTAAAAAAGCCAAGAACACGGAAACTTAATTTAAAACCTAAATCAAAACACACGCGACACATCACACATACCTCGAAATCAAAGCAAACACAGTTGAAACGCGTGTCGAACGAATTGCTCGCGGACCACGCAACATCGCGTACGACCCGCGACAATGCGACACCCGGCTCGGAGTGTAACTTCCCCTCCCCCTCCATACATTACCGCCGCGTGTCCATCAGTCGGTGGGCCAATGTTTAGCATAGCTTGTCGCAATATGTTACACGCGGCATCCAGCCACAGTTTCCGGCATCGAATCGGTTTGGCCGATCACGCCTCGCATCTCGCGCCCTGTCTCTCGAACCTCGATATCTCGAGCCAACAACCCCTTGTCGGGGCCTCCTGTCAGCGTATGCTAATCACGGCTTCGGCTCTCGATGATATTTCGAAGCGACGTCGATTCGCACCACCGATCGCGCCCGACGTCACTCGCGTCGAGGGAACTCGCGTTGTCCGTTACAGTCGATCTCTGCGCTCGTAATTACCCTCGTTTCGAACGAAGGAGAAAGCGGGTGAACGGTTATTAGAAATTAGGAATTTGACGAGAGGAATAATAGCGGTGGATGGTTGGTGATGATCGATCGTGATGATTTCGCGGTTGAACAAGACGAAGAGGAAAGGAGTGTAATCGTGAAATGTTAGGTTGATATATGGTTTATGGACTGTTCAATGAAGTAAACGAGTAATTTTCGTGTATTTATTTATTGAAAATTTATATAATATATAGTATAGTATAATATTTAAAGGATTTGAAGAATGGATTTTTTTGTTCGAGTTCCATCTCTCTCTCTGGTTGGAATTCGTAGAAATTTGTATAAAATTCTTCGTAAGAATTTCGTTGTCCAAGAATCCATCTTATTAATGACGAAATTATTTTATATCTCACAGTATAAGATATCGTGTTTCGACTTATTTATTCTTTATATTTATTTTTCCAGATAAATCAGCGATAACCCTTGATAAGAAATACAATTGCATCCTTCCTCGCCACTCGATCCGTATTGCCAACTACAGCGCCTAACGACATCCGAAGAAATCGAGCTTCCCCCAATTACGCAGCGGCGCACAGCTTGAACGAGATTTACGAATGAAAATGAAACGCGAAGGGGTGGCGAAGATTACGGAAGGCGGCGGCGAGGTAAGGCGATCGTAACACTCGTAATTGAGTACACGGGCCGATATCCGAAAACTGCTCGGGGGTTGCCGCCGATTCGAGCAATTTTAAAAGCGGTCTCCCTAATCTGTAGCCTGTTATTGGTCGAAACTCGTGGGGCGGTGGATGCATTAGCGAGGCGATATAGGTCCCTGGGTGGTGCTGCTGGTTGCCCCGCCGAAGCGGATATTATAAATTCCGAGTCAAATGTAGCGTATCGTAATTTCGTTCGTTGGGATATCACTTAATGCAATCTGTACGGAGTCTCGTCCCGAGAAAAATTTTATTAATGTCATCCGACCTGTTTCCCTGGATGAATTCTTGTATTATCTTTTTCTTTTTCTCTTTTTTTTTCCACTCTCTTTCATTCGTTTCGAGAATCGTTTCTACGGGAGATAAAATCGAAACTGATTCGTGGGTTAAAAATCAGGTGATCCAGGATACGCAATAAGAAAGAGAGTTATAACCGTGATAGTCGAGGCTTTTCAATTTATTTTAACGGGGAAGAAAGGAGGGGGAGGAATTGGCGAGAATCCGCGTGTGCCTTCTCTCCTGTTGTAACCTGTAAAGGAGGAAGGAAACGGGTGTGCAGCCACGTGAAATTAAAAGTCCCGCTCCCCCTGTTCGAGAGAGGACGACAACAAAAGGAGATGCTCCAGTTGCCTCGGTACCGAGAATACAGGATTACGTCTTCTCCTCGTCATCGCTCGTCTAAGAAAAAAAAAATAAATACCCCGGAGCGCGAGCAGAAAAATAAGCCCTTAAAGAGGCTGATGAATTTTAAATCAGCCTCGCATTGAAATCAGGGAAACGTCTCCATTGCCAGAGGACTTTCGTGTTCACCCTCTCTGTCTTTCCCACTTTTACATCTTCTTTCCTCTTCCTTCATATTTTCTTTTCTTTTCTTTTCTCCTTTCTTTCTTTCTTTCTTTCTTTCTTTGGTTCCATATACCCGCTCTCCTCCGGTACTTTCAGTTTTCATCTCTTAATAATACAGAGGCACTAATACCCTGATCACATATTCCCGGGGATGAAAGGTAAATCTTGCGCTCCGGGCGGGTTATAAGGAGCACATTAATTCCATTAGAAAAGGCGTTCGTGTCCTCCCCTCCTTTTTTTCTTTCCTCCCTTAAAGGACAGGTTCTTTCCACCTCTTCCTCCGTCAAAACGATCGAAAATAACGCAACGACCTCGTTTCTTTCCTGTGTTTTCTTTCCTCCGATGAAATCCGTTCGCAGGATTCGTCGATCTTGGTTAGCGTCTTATATATTCTCTTCTAGATTGGGGAGGGACGAATTTCAAACGTTTATTATTGCGAATGGATAGTTGAGAAAATGGGATAAAATTGGATTTGTATCGAATTGTTGGGAGATTTTACGGGAGAGGGACTCGCCTAATCTTGTAGCAGGATATCCGGCAATAATATCCTGCTCGTGCCACTCATCAGGGGGCAACTCGTAAAAGTTATTATCACGACAAGCGTCGATTTCGGTAGCGCGTGTGCTCCGCGTATTAGAAGAAATTCTCTCCGCAAATGTAATCTGCGAAACGATCCATCGTTCCCTCTCTCTTCGAGAAACTTGTACAAACAATGAATAATAATTTCCATAAAGAGAGCTAGATCACAGATTAATCCAAACTAGAAAATTCTCGATCAATAATCGTCGTCGTGTGTCGTACGTTTCTTTCGGGAGACAATGTGAAAGACGATCACATCACAAACTGTAAATAATAACTTCCATGGAAAAAGAAAAAAAGAGAAAGAAAGAGCATCGTCGTAACTCAATCACCTTCGAAAGAATTATCCATCGAGAAATTTTCAAACCGAGAAAAACCGAACCGAGACGAGACGAGACGAGACGAGACGAGACGAATCGAGGCAAAAGTCGAAAGGAGAGGCTGCCTCAGTCGGCAGTCGATCAGCAGCGATCCGCCACCCCCAGGGAAATCGCTTTAAACCTTTTAAATTCGGCAACCCTCGGAAGAAAAGAAAAAAAAAAAAAGGAAGAAAGGACACGCACAGTCCTCCTCGAGCAAGCAACCCAGTCGCGTCGCGTCGCGTCGAGACGTGGTGGTAGCTGCGGGTAAGTACGTCGATACACGAACACAGCCCGATACTAGTGGTAGCCGGTTGCACGGCACATAAATATATCGCGCACGGAAGAGGGAAATCTGTTTAAAATATGTTCTCTCTCTCGCCATTTCGCCATGGTCGTTTGCCACGGGGAATAGCTAAATGCTTTTTGCGAGAGGCCATTTAAATCTTTACCTTTCGTCCCTTTTTCGTATATATCCTTCCCTCCTCCGTTTCGTCCATTCGTCTTCTCTCTCTCTCTCTCTCTCTCTCCTCTTCCTTTCCTCTCTCTCACTCTCTTCAACCGATTCATGTTTGCTTATGTTCGATCGGCGTGGAAGGAAGGATAGGAAAAACAGGGGGAAAACAGGGAGAGAAAAAGGAGGCAGGTGGAGGTTCTTGGTGGTGAATTTCTCTGTTTGTCGTGTATCGATTCCTCTTATTCAATCTTCTCGAGAAAGACTTCCCGGCCGGTGTAAGCGATATCTTCGAGAGGTATCTGTAAATATTCCAGTTTCAAAACCGTGGTAGAGGGGAGAGGAGAGGGAATTTCTGTGGCTCCTCGTCCTGGTGGCGGATCTTTTCCCGATTCTTTGCTCTCCCGCGTTTTATCGAGATTGGCCGACTCGAGTCCCACAGGAAATGGGGGAGGATCCGGATGCAACCGTACGCACAACAGCCACGAAATTCGCCCCGTGTACATACAGAAGGCCGATCTCTCTCCTCTCCACGCGCGTATGCAACGAGCGAGCAGGAACGTTTTGCATGCGAAAAAAAAATGAGGTTTCCTCCGCGAATTGCGGTGGTACCCTGGGGAGTCGGGCGGAAGATAGTCGGTTACTTTAGAGGAGACACAAGAATGGCGGAAATTTCTCTTGGTTATGAATGATGGGCTTGCGTGGGGTTGCGTTTCGTGGGCTCGATGAGACATCGAGTACATTTAAGTATTCTTTTGTTTCAGAGTTAATGCGAGATCTGTATGGACGACTATCGTTGGACGGCAATTATTTGATGTTATAATTATAGTTGTCGTAGGTACACAAGCGCTTAATATTAGATGACTATAATCGTACAGAATTTAACGCTGAATAACTATAATCATTATTGGTACACATTCAACGCTAAAAGAGTTGGTACACAACAAACGCTCTGCATTGTATCCTCGAATGGAAGAGGAATAGAAATATGCAATAAAAAGTATATTTTTTTCGAGAATTGACAAAGAGTAGACATCAATTGCTCGATGGACTATAGCTCGAGGAAATTTATTGGCGCAAGTACGCTTCGGAGAAGTCGATGAAAATGAAATCTGCGACGAAGAAGTGTCGTACCGGATGATAGTCGAAAGGTGGTATGGAAGACACGTCGCTGAAAGGAGGCTAAGCGCCATCGGCCGCGAATTTGTTGTCGATCGGTCTTGCGATCGAGAAAAAAGCCGCTAGATCGGTTCTCTCGCCAAGTCTTGTGACACATACACGCGCCTCTCGGCCTTAATACCGTCGACGTTTTATTCGATGCGTCCTCTGACGAAATCGACCACATTACATTCTTCGTTTTCTTCTCGACGTTCCATCTCTTCGTTATTTATCGATGAAAAACCGAGTCCGGTCTCGTTTCTCACGTTCAAGATAATTCTATGGACTGCCCCTGTTTTACAATTGGAACGACCTATTCCATGATATATCCTAAGTTCGTGTGCGTCCACGGATGTGAATAGAGTCGGTCGTAAATCGAAACATTGTATATAGTAAGACTGAAATTGTATTTAAGTATTTAAGTATTTAAGTATTTGAGTATTTTAAATCGAGAATAAACTATTTGAATGCCTAAACGTTTGTAACAATCTATACTGATATCTTATATAATTTTATCTCTCGAAATATCTCCCTCTTCAAAATAATAAAATATATTTCGGATAAAAGTTGAACGGTTTCGAAACCTAATATAGGGATGATTATTTTTTTATAAGTGCATGCGTAGAGATTATATAAAGTCAATGTTGACTTTTTTAATAGAATTATGTACTTAGGTAAAAAGAGATATAGTATAATATTTTTTATAACAAATTATTAATCCATTTATAACAAAAAATTATTAGTTTAAAAGATATATAATTACATTTAATTACATTTAATTATATTATCTTTTACAATAATTTTTTTTTTATTTATATAACATAATGTTTTTTTTCTAAAGATTATAGAGATCATGAGTTTATTAATCAATATTGATATATTCATTAATAAACTCATAATTCTAATCAAAAAAATAAAATTGAAATCAACAAGTTCTCTATGCATTAATCTATGAAAAAATTAATGAAATCAGCATATAGATCATTAAAACTATTTTTTACTAATATGCAAAATAAAACCGATATTTCAGATACAAAGTTATATAAGACAAACGAAATATTCCTAAAATGGAAATAAGAATACAATTTTCATTACAATTGATAAGTAAACGAAAATAAGCATCTAGAATTAAGAAAATTAATACAAAAAATAAATAAAAACATTAAAAAAAAGCAATTTAAAGAGGAAACTATGGACATAATAAGTAATTCATAGCTAAGTATAAAACATATCTTAAAAATATTTCAAAAATTCCGCATGCCACATCCTCTACAATCATATTCTCCTATTGAAAAGTCGAAATTTTAGCCAGAATTTGTCATACTAACACTTTTACTAAAAATTCGGCGTGCCACCTCTTCAAATATTATATTCTCCTAATGAAAAGTCGAAACTTTAGCCAGAATTTGCCATTGTAACACTTTTACTAAAAATTCCGCGTGCCACCTCTTCAAATATTATATTTTCCTAATGAAAAGTCGAAATTTTAGCCAGAATTTGCCATACTAAACCTTTTACTAAAAATTCCGCGTGCCACCTCTTCCAGTATTATATTCTCCTAATGAAAAGTCGAAATTTTAGCCAGAATTTGCCATACTAACACTTTTACCATAAATTCCGCGTGCCACCTCCTCTACAATCATATTCTCCTAATGAAAAGTCGAA